CCCTGAATCCTAAACCTTAAAACCCTAAACCCTAAACCCTGAACCTTAAAACCCTAAACCCTAAACCCTGAACCGCACAGCTCTTTCGTCCTGGCCTCCTGCCTCAAAGCATGGCAAGGCCAGCTTGAGCTTAGCAGGGTTTTTGTTTACCGAACTCTTTGGGAGTTTCTGAAAATTAGGGGTACCTTATTTAGGGGTCCTTATAATAAGGATCCTACTATTAAGGGTGCTATATTAGGGTCCCCTATTTTCGGAAACCCCCCCTTTCTCTCCGCGAGAAGTCAGCAGACTAGGTTCATACCTTTGCATGCTTCACCGCCACGAGCCGAGCAGAACTCCACGAGGTTATGCCGAAGGTAGGAACGCCCGTCTTCTGGATAGCAGGGAGTTTAGGGGTTATGAGGGCTTCGGGAAACTTGGGGGAGCCACAGGGTCACGTCTGCCGGCGTGCAGAGATACCTTCTTAGGGTTTCGACAGGAGGGTTTAGAAATCAAGGGATTAACCCTAAACCTAAAGCCTAAAACCTAAACCCTAGACCCTAAACAAAACCCTGAACCCTAAAACCCGAAAATAAATCCTATGAGGGTGCAGGGTTTAGGTTCACCACGGAGTAAGAACCTCAGACCTGCTAGAGTCTCGTAGATGTCAAGAGCGTGTTAGAAGGTTTCTTTTGGGGGCTTGGGATTCCTATGAACCCAAACCCAGGGTTGAGCTTAGGGCTTAGGGCTTAGGGTTTAGGGTTTATAGGGTTTAGGGTTTAGGGTTTAATGGGCAGTTTATAAAGTTTAGGGTTTAGGGCAAATGGGGCCAGGGGCAAGGAGTTTACGAATGATTGGGGCTTCCAGTACAGGCCTCCAGCCTTTCAAGTATCTAGACCAGCAATCGAGAATCCCCAGGCCCTTATAGAGGGGCCTTAACAATTAGAATAGGGTTCCTGAAAGGGTTACCATAAGGGTTACTACAAAGGTTCTATAAGGGTTTTCTCTGTCGGGGCCTTAGTAATTAGAATAGGGTGTTGGGGCCCATCGTACTACACTTAGAATCAGGAATCCCCGAAATAGTATTGGTAATTATGTAGGCCCCTATATTAAGTACTAAAGACTCTGCTCTACCACGTAAACCTTCTACGCAACCTGCTACGCAGTCCATGAAGCTTTAGCCATAGGTCTCAAACTCTGAGTTTTATAGGGCTTTGTAGGACACTACGTAATTGGAACATTAGGTCGGGGCACGTCATCAGGTGTTCTGCGAGGTCCTCGATGGCATCCGGGAACTGCTCGGCATCATCACAGATAGCCTGCGCAAGGTTCACATTCATTTGGCATATGGGCCTGGGCCACAATCTCAATCCATAAGCCTGCAAGCCAAAACCATACCGTCCCCAACCCAATGCCTAGACCCCAATCCTTAAACCCTGCAATGCCCTACAAGCCCAAGCCAGAAAATCTGAACCTAAACAGGTCAAGTCCCTGGCCAGCTGGATGCGAGACTACCATCAGGTCTTTTTCTTTCGTGAAATCGATCTTTCCACCGTCAAAGCACAGTTGAATTCTGGCTTTGCGACTTAGAAGCGCTTCAGCTTCAGCTGGACAGACTGAAGACTGCCTGCAATCTAAGCGGGTTTAGGGCTAACTGACGGAGGATGTAGGGCTCAAACGGGCTTACGGAGCCGAGGATGATACGATCAGATCTGAGGATTGCTGAAGTCAGCGTCTGGCCAACCATAAATGCCCTACAGGTAGGTAGAATTCCAGCACAGCTGTCCTCCCTACCTGGCTATCCAGGGAATGTCCACGTTTTGCGGACCAAAAGAGGAAGAGAGCTCGCCAAGTGAAGGTGTCTACGTCCACGGCGGGTCCTCACTCCCATTGCATCAAAACTTGCAGAAGGCTGTACATCAGCGCGATGGGAACAGCACTTCGCCATCGTAGTTGATGGACTCAATCAAAATCTCCGACTTGCTGATGGTGAGGTCATAGAAACCATACTGCGCCTCGCCGTACCAGTCCTCAGTCTCCTCAGGATTCGGTGTGGCCTCGGATGTGATGCCGCCACCACCGCCGGTCACGATGCATGTTACGCCCATGTGGTTCTTGGCATGATCATCCTGGGTTGCTGCTCTCAGAACTTACATTTAAGTTACAGCGGAAAGGAAACCCTGTTATTTACTCTATATCCTCATTATGGTCATGTAGGGGCTGTAATAATTAGAATAGTGTTTTGGGGCCGAGTCTACTATACTTATAATAAGGAGCCGACAAATAAAATAGTATGGGTAATAATTTTGGCCCCTATATCAACCCTAAACCCCAACCCTATTCCATTTCTTTAAGGCCTCTATACTAACTGAAAGAATGGTTACTTAACCCCCTAAACCCTGGACCCTTATGGAACCCTTAAAGGAACCATATATCCCCCATGACAGCCCAGCATCTGGGAGCCAAAGCTCCTGATCATGCCGGTGCCCTGTCACAAGCAGGTCCATCCCCAGGCCCTGCAAAGACTTGTAGAAGTCCTGTAGGGTTTAGGGGTTTAGGGTTTAGGGTTAAGGGTCCATCCCCAGGCCCTGCAAAGACTTGTAAAAGTCCTGCGATTTAGGGTTTAGAGTCTAGAGTTTAGGGTTTAGGGCTTAGGGTTTGTTTAGGGTTTAGGGCTTAGGGTTGAAGTCCTGCTCATGTCCGCAGGGGAAGTGCGTGACGACAATCTGCCAGTTCGCCTTACTCTGTCCCATGAGTTGCGTGACCCATGGCTGCTGCTCAGCCCAGAGCGACGCGAACCAGCCCGGGCACGCGTCCACGGACTCGGGGCCATCCGCTGCGGCGCAGGAGGCGGAGGGCTTGTTGTTCTTTCGACTGCACATGTTGTGGTTCGGGTCCTCCTCTGGTGGCATGGCATCGATGAAGTTGGAGTCCAAGAAGAAGTAGTCTACGTCGAAGCCGAGGTCTGCGTAGACGACGGAGGTCTTGTAGTACGGGGCGGGCATGACCCAGCGGGTGCTAGCCCAGGTGTAGGAGATCTGCTGATCCCAGCCGTTGTCGAACTTGAAGCCTCCCCAGTCATGGTTGCCCAACACGCTGAACCAGGGCTTGTTGGTCAGGCCGGCCCCTTGATAGACACCTTCGAAGATTTGATCGAACTGGTGCTTCGTCGGGTACGAGATCTGATCCATCGGACTCCCACATGTCTTCTCGATACCGCCCCAGTAGAAGTTGTCTCCTACGTTGAGGATATACTGCGGGTCGACGAGCGCAGCGCGGGCTTTAAAGGCGTTGGCTACCAGAAGCTGCGGCTGATCATCTACGCCTGACACATAGCCACACTCTGGGGCACATGGAGCCTGGCCGCGGGTGTTAAAGCACTCCACGAGCTGCTTGTGATCACAGTACTGCACAGTGTGCATCTTGGAATTGCAGTGGGGACAGCAGGATGACAAGTCCTTACTGCCGCGAGTGTCGTCACCTAAGCAAAGGAAGAAAC